GTATTCTCAGTATCATTCTGTAGAACAGTTATGTTGCTTAAAGTCTCTTCATCTGTGAGAAGATTGTCCAGCCATTACATAAAAGATCAGTACATTTTTCTATGATTTTTTTTCTGTTTCTTAATACTTTGCTTAGCATTTGGAAGGCATCTTTCACTATACTAATGTGCCTTATAATCCTCTGCTAAAATACTTAGACATTTAAATTATTGTACTTGTTTGATTTTGGTATCTCCAATTTGGAATTTGCATTTTGAGATCATCCTTTTGCTAATGATCAAGTATTGTGTCTTCTTACAATTGATGTTTTACAGGGCAAATGCACAGCAGTACAGACACAAAAGAGGTCCCAGATCACATGTGGATATGACTGTCAAAACCAATTACATCCAAGTTTTCTCAATCAGCAGTGGAACAACTTGGCATGTGCAGGTATGGGCCTCTCTGCAACTTTTCTAGATTTGGATTTGTCAGCTGTCAATAAAAGCGACAAGAAAACCTGCAGTCAGTGCTTGAGAAGACTCAGTGTCTTGTGAACTCAGATCCATGGGCATTTTCTTCTTAAAGTTGCTGTGCCTTCTGAAGCAGTATCATTTTGTTGCCTCCTGTCTCTTTTCTTTCTCTGCCTATTACTCTCCACAGCAGTTGGGTTAGCAATTGGCTAGGTGTTTATCCTAATCTCAATACACTCTTGCCGTATTTTACAACACAAATCCAACTTACTGATTTCACTTTCCCAGCCTCTAACCATTAAACTACACACACTCCCTGATACATATTATATAAAATGTCTGAAGTTGTGCAACTTTTACACAATTTCTAGAACTAAGATTAGAATCCTAAGTTTTGTTGTTTCAATCAATGTATTCTTCAGCCCTCTTCAAATTGCATAATGTTTTGTGATTAAGTATGATGCTATGTCAAAATAACATTTTCATTAAAATTTCACCCAATATGACAGCAATACTCCTAGCTGCCCAGCCCTCACTCTCCAGCCTTGACCAAGTACAAAAGCAATTACGCAGCCTTGTGAGTGATGAATTATTTCCCCACCATAAAGCCCCTTTCTCACAGATTAAATGTTCCTAGCCTCTTACTACTGTTGATATTACTATAGTAGATGTTCAAACAAACTGTTATATAGTATCGAGGTTTCTAGCAGTGAAAGCCTGATACCATGTACATAGCATCAAATCATCCTTGTTCCCTTTGTTTAGGAGCAAGTTCCATTCAGAAAGAACTTTCCCCAAAACTGTCACTGTGTGAAACAGACTCCTCAGAGGATGGTTTGTAAACATTACAATCTTAATCTCATAATATGCACCTCTTCCTCCTTCCCTATGCCCTTACAACAATCTAATTCAGTAAGCCTCTACTTTGAGTGACTCTTGGGCATTGCATCATGTGAGCAATAATTATAAAAAAAAAAAAAAAAACTTATCCAACAATCAAAATATGACATTATTTGAGAAAGGGATCCATATATTCAATTTTTGGAACTGAATAACCAATGTAAAACAAAATCAAATTTTATTTAATTTGAAACATCCAGAAGTTTCTTCCTCGCTCCCCACTTTAGTTATTGTTGAAGATATAAAACGTATAACAGTAGTAGGTTTGTTTTTTATTCTAATAAAAATTGACGTCAGTTACTTTACCAATTTACAAGCAGAAAAAATTTAAAGAAAATTAAATCGCTTAATACTGAGGCGCTCTTTACGTATGGGGTTCTTTTTTCTTTTTAAAAGGGAGAGAAGCATGAACTTCAAATACTTCATTTCCAAACATTAACGTCTGGAATAAATTGTTTCATTATGACAAGAGCAAACTAAGATTTTATCAAAATTCCAATCAATAAAATGAAGACGTGCTGAGCTTAAATTGTTCAGTTTTCCAATTTTAGTTTCGTTTGGAGTTGATTTGAGAATTTAAAAACTTTTTTAATGGCATTTATTAAAAAAAAAAAAAAAAAAAAAATTCAAACTAAACTAAATTTAAAAAAAAATCCCCAACAAAACATATCCAAAGTTTGTCGATATACAGCGCCACTTGATCAAGAGAAAATCCTAGTGATCTTGCACTTTCTTACGTTTATTTTAACTAATATCGAAAAAAAAAAAAAAAAAAAAAAAGATTTTTAATTTTGACAATAACTAATTCAATAAGAATGTGTCTAAAAATACAATGTTCGCAATTTTGATTATTTTTCAACAATCTACGATGCTAATCATCATCTTTATTCAATTGAAAGGTTATCCTATGTAATACCCGTCGTAAATTTATGCTTAAATTGGTTTATGGAATTATTTTGAGTTTTTTTGATAGTACACAAACAATCTACAATACATTCTACAATTAATTTTCAGTGGTGCACAGTGTTCCAGTCGTAATGGGATAAAAACTTCCTAAAAATGTAATTATAATGTGAAATTTGAAAACATAAAACATTAAAATGTGTGTGTATTACTGTAAAAAAAAAAAATAAATAAATAAGCGGTTATTAAATAAGACAAGACTAAGAGGTAAAAAAAAAAAAAAATCTAGCCTAGAATCTGGTCTGTAATTCGGATGCACAAAATGGCGAGTTATGGTTTAAATATTTTTATTTCAAATTTTTAATTTTTCTCAAAATATATATTCAGATCACTATTTCCCTTTTGTGCAGATTCCTGCAGTTGGTTTTCATGGGACATCTCCAAACATACATCAGAACAAGTTTTCGATACCAAGGTCATAACAATCTTCAAAAGTTCTTTGTTCTGCAATTAACTTGTTTTCTTTCAAAAAGTTAAAAATTCTAGTAAATTATCTACTATCATTTCTGTGCATGAGAAATATGATCCAGATTCTAGACCAAAAATAATTAGGAAATAAAATATAATTAACTAAGAAAACCATAAAAAATGTCAAATTCTTATCTTAAACGATTGTTTTAAAATCAAAGTGATTTAACGAAGATCGCCAATCCTTTACACGCGTCATTATTATTCATTTTCACACGTTTGAATATTTAACAAACTAAACTAAATATTTCATTTCTCCAGACCCTTTTTACTACGTGTGTTTTTTTTTATTTTTTTAGGGGGTAAGTTTTTAGTCGTAATAATATTTTTAAAAAGTTAGAAATCATTTCCCCGGTCAGTTAGTTACCTGACGCAGGAGTTTGCTTTTGACCAGAAGTGCAGTAAACAAACTGTTCTTCTCCTTGGGAGAAGGCACCCTGTCTGGGGAATTCCAACCTTGTGGCAGCACTTTCTTCATTGCTCTAAGAGAGGTGGCATTGGTATCGATGCCAATAGTCGCGTGGACTGGACAGTATCCCTGGCCCATATACATGTGTATGGTGCTCCCCACGTAAAAACGACCTTGTTATATCTTGCCTTAGAAGGGAGGCCATGTATACCAAAGTCAGTGGAAAGGTAAAAAGGACCTTCCTTTATCAATCAGCCGAATTCCTAGCAAAAGTAGCTGCTTAGCTTAATTATTATTATCTTTTTTATTTTTATTTTTTTTGTTAAATTAAATAATCCAAACGAACAAACTTAAACATTTTTCATCAAAGAATAATACTCTACAAGTGAAAGTGTACAAAGTTCACTAATTTAAAGGTAAGTTTTAACTTAAAAATTAGGGTCCTGTTCATTTGACCTCGTAGGCAAAAAAAAAAAAAAAAACTCATCTTGATTAAGTGTAATAATGACGATATATACACACACAGAATGAGATCGTTTTTTGTTTTTTTTCATTGCAAAAATAAAATTTATGTCGCCTTTAGAAAAAAAAATTACCGGTGATTACCAATTATGATTTCTTTTTTTTTAAAAATAGAAGAATATAAAATTTTCTGATATTGTATGTAATTAATTAACTGTACTAAAGAGGCTTTATTTTAAATTTATTTATAATCTTTAAAAAATAATTTGATTTGACTAAAATTGCACGTGAATATTTCAAATTTGTATTTATTCGGGTCTTATTCCTAGTTTATGGAAAGAAAGAACAAATCCTGAAATAAAAGAAGACATTTAAACAAGTTTTATCCAATAAATACAAAGAACAAATTATTTTATTATATAATTACATGTGATTTCAATACTTTTAGAAAAGTGTCCTATACTAAAAAATAAATATTTAAAACTAGGTCAAATTAATAAAAAAAAAAAAAAAAAAGTCACTGTTGAAAAATAAAAGTAAAGCAAAACATTTCTTTTTATAACTCACAAGGAAAAAAATATCTATATAGATAAATAAATACATAAATATCTTTTTTAGTCATCATTGAAGATTCAAGTTTTAAACTTTGAAGAAGTTGTACATGTAGTTTTTGTTTAGAGGAAATAAAAAAAAATCAAGCCTTGAACCAGAAATTTGATAAATAAAAAAAAAAAAAAAAAAGTCCTTAAAATGAGAGAAAAAAAAAAAACTAAGCAAGCTAAGATTGGATTTTTCACATATTTTCCTTCTCGCAAAAATACAACTTTTTGTCGTTTATATAAGCGACAAAACATTCAACATTTGAATCGTTTTTACAACATCACGGAAATGAGATTCATTAAACGGGGTCAGCCATGATGAGATGAAAAATGTTCAATTTTTAAGAGGGAAAAAAGTAAAGTTCTTTTTCTGTTTAACGTTTAGATACAAAAATAAAATAATTTAAAGATAATTTCAAATAAATGTAGAAGTTAAGAAACTTACTAGTAAATAAACTTAACTTAGATCAGTTTTTTTACTTTTTCATTTTTTTTTCCTAATTCCTAAGAGATACCCGTACTGAAAAAATACTTTTTTAAAAAGGTTTTAAAATTAATTTTTTGTTTTCATTAAATTACAAACAACTAATATAATTTTTTAAAAGTTATTACTTTTAATTGTTTTTACTTAAGTAATACTCAGATAATTTTTAAATATTATTCTGTTAAATTAGGTTTGGTTTCATGATTCGAAATTGACCACACAAATTCTTTTTATTTTTATATAAATATATTTCAACTACTTACTTTGTCTGGTGTTACATTCTGATTGGGATATAAAACATCCCAAACAAATCAAGAGATACGTCCATACATTGGCCATGGTCTGACGAGACCACCACCCAACACCATAAATTTAAAAAAAAACACGCCTTTTGTAACTTTTCCAGTCGTCGGTTTCAAAAATAAAAATCCAAAGGGAATATCCTGTGCAAAAGTTTAGGTCCTTAAATTTGAATTGTAGCCCAAGAGAAGTTTCAGATGTACCTGTCACGAATAGTTCCTGAAACTATCCGACAGGTGGGCGAGAAGACGTTGGGACTGCAGCTCCTCCTGCTGCTGACACACCTGTAAAAAAGTAAAGCAGCGACAGTTAATTGGACATTTCTATTATTCACCTGTACGTCACACTACTACTTCCTTTCTTCACTCACTCACTGAGTCATGTCTCTGCAGGTGAAATTATTTATTTTCAATAACAGATACTATTATGAGTTTCCTAAGGTGAAATGTTTGGTTTGTGAACTGTCATTCGAGGTAATGAATGAAATAATTTGGTTAAATTATGACCCAATAAATGTTAAGTTTAATTACGCGGGAAATGTGACGTTTTAAAAAATTAAAATTATTGTGTTTCTCGCCTTTTTACCATTCGCATTTTTTCTGTTGGTAGTGTTAAGCGTCAATGTAGTTAATTCACTCCAAAGTTACTTATCGCAAATATAAATTAAAACCACATAAATTATAAATTTTAAATCAAGATTTGTTTGTTACTTTATTAAATTTTTGGCACTCTTAAAATTATAAATTTTCTTTTTAAATCAGAATTTGTTTAGCTTTCCCGCAACAACTTCTTCAGCCTTCAGAATGAAAAATTACCAAAAAATTAGAAGGTTAGTCACATTTTTCGTAAGTGTGCTTACAAGAATTTTCGTGTACTTACAAGTATTTTTTTTTTCAATTAAAAAAAAAAAATCAGTTTTTTGGGCTTATTTATCGGTGTGAGCGCGAATGCTAACCCCAAACATAGAAATAGCACACCCGAATCGCCCACATTTGGGGCGTTCGCAAAGGTCAACCCAACCGGAGTGCAATGGAAGGGCTTCAATCTGGGAGAACTTGGTGTGAATTTTTTCAGTAAAAAATTCTTTTTATTTGGGGGTGAATTAATAGAAAAGATAATTACCCTAAAAAAATAAACCATAGACTCATAACTGAGAAGAAAAGATGGATTTCGTTTACTTTTTTTTTCTTTTTTTTTTTTTCTTTTTTATTTAAAAGTTTTCGGTCCGTTACGTTAAAAAATCTTTTGTTATCGTTAATAAAAACTAACATGTTACGCTTCCTTAACTGCGTGTCCTAATTTTCGATTTTTTTTTTGAAAGTTGCACTAATAATAATTCACCGTTCATAAATTTTATTATTACTTTTTTTCATTTATTTGCTTTTATTCATTCATTTTTAATTTTTTTATTTTAATTTTTATCTTATAATTAGTGGTAATAATCATTTTAATTTTTTTTTCTTTTATAAAAATACTTCCTCTGTCTCACTGTTAGATTTTTTTATGTATAAAATATGTTGACAAATATGGAATAGGTAATAATAATCTTTAAAATACCTTTAGGTGTAGTAAATTAAGTAGGGCCCAGATAAGATTTCTTGCGTTAAAGTAGAAAGCCGGACAAAAACCCCTTTTACTTTGAAAATGAAATGCACATTTTGAAAGCTTTAATATTTTTTAGGCATCAAAGAAAACTTTTTCTATAATTCAGTATTTTTAAATGCAGTTCAATAATCTTTCCTCAATCTTCACTTTATAAAACTTAACGCCATTTTTATTTATTTTTACACAACTACTATGTGATTTAAACTTAATTTCTTGTTTTTGCATTTTAACACGCGTCTCAATTTATGCGATCCATTTGTTGAAGGGATTTACGCACCTACAAGCACATAATTTGGCACAAAGTCAAGTTTAAACAACGATTTCGGTCGCCGCTCAAAACTACTTTCTCCCCTTCAGCACTTTTTTTTTTTTTTTTTTCAGGCACCGGATAATGACCTCAGCCCCTTCTGAAGGAGAGTTGCTGCCGGAGGGGCGCAGTATTAATTTTAACTTTCACCCCAACCCAACTGGACTAATTAAAATATGAAACTACACTGGTGCTCCTTAATAAAAATCCAAAGAAGAATTTGCTATGTCATTGGTCCTGACCTGGCATCTCGGCTTCAATCACTTTCTCACCGCTGTAACATAGCTTCCCTATGCTTTTTTTTTATAAATACTTTCATGGTAATTGCCCTGATGAACTTTCCTCTTTTTTAAATGTTGTTTTTTATCCCCCACCCCAAATAAATTGTACATATGGGAACTAGTTAGGACTTCATAGAGACTTTGAGGTATTACGGTGACTTTAGTAATAAAGGTAAGTAAGAACGTGTTTTTTTGGTGTAAGCAATACTGTGGTATGTTTAGTTCAGTAATTGCGGTTAGCTAAGTTTAAAGATAAGACAGATTGAACACCAGATTTCCCCTATCTTCACTTTTGGCCTTGTGCCATATTTTTGTATTTGGTAAATAAATATTAATCTCCATTGTAGTATCTATGTCGGAGTTACCTCCTCCTTCAAGTTCGTAACCCTTTCACCAGAGGTCTCTCTTTCCTGGCTATAAATAGCCAATGACCCTTCGGCTCGACCTCTTTTTCCCTTTCAGGCCTGGGCACTAACGCCCCGAGGTAAATTTCTCTGCTTCCTAGAGGATTTCAACTATCAACCTCGAAATGTAGTCGCTAACAAGAAATAGCGTGAAATCACGCTAAAGCACAATAATGCACACGCACGCACACACAAAATATCCACGCACGCACGCACATACAGAATATTCACACACTTTGTCCTTCGTACTGTTTCCCTGTATTGTAACTTGTTATGAATATATATTTGTTGTGTATACATATATTATCGGTCTTGTGTTGTTTGCTTTCTTTTCCTTCTTCTTTGGACTTAATCAAAGTCCAACCTTTTTATGTAGTTGGGCCCGGCGAGCAGGAGTATCTGAACCATACAGGCGTTTCGTCCACGTCTGACTTCTCTCAACAAACCGTAACCGCCAACATAACAGCCACGGCCCACTACATCTAGACTCTATGAATTTAAGCGCAGTACTTGATCGTCAACAACATTTTATCCTTTTACAATTGAAACCGCTATGGATCGGTAATAGTTTCTTATCTCGCTTGTGGAACTCTCTTCCGGCTTCTCGTTTTCCAGTCATCTTTGATCTTCAAAATAAAATCAGTGTCAATCGTTAGCGTCTGTCTTAATTCTTGTTCTTTTATTGTTCTCTCTCCTTAATAATGTTTTCCTTATATTCTTTCACATTCAGTAACTCCCTCGCTCTGCATGGTAGTGTCTTTGTTGTCTTGCTTGGAGGTGAAAAGATTTTTTAAAAAAATAAACATAAATGTCCTTATCGTGAAATCCACATCGAAATATTTTTCTTCTTTTTTTTTTTTTTAATAAATTTTTAAGTGTAGATAATTTTCTTTCCAGTTTGACATAAAATAACGTATTTTATTAAATTATGGAAGCATCAAATGTCAAAAAAATGATTTTTTTTTTAGTTTTATTGAATTATTTTAGTTAAAGTTCAAGACGAATTTTTCGTTTGTTCATACTTGATATTGCATACTTTTTTTGTTGCATTTTTTTTTTTTACTAAAATGACATATTCAGGAATTTTTCTTTGTATAATTGTAAAAAAAAATCTCAAACCTCACCAAATTAAAAAGTACACATGAGATTTCAATGAAGAATGGATTAGACTGACACAAATATTGCCACAAAAGATTTCTTATCAAATTACCTATTCAGTATGAAATTCATTCGTTAATGAATAAGTACTGAACATTTCGTTTAAATCGGATAATCCCCTGATATTTTTGTAAATTTCTAAAAACAAGGGGTAGTGAAGTTTCTTTCTTTCCTCTATAACAAAATACTAGAATAATAATTCTATGAACTTGTATCGAACCGTGTCGTAACTCCAATTCTTTAACTCAAACGGAAATGTTCACTTCGACATCCACAGATCATATGAAAAAAAAAACAACAACAACAAAAAACGATCTTAGTCTCATCCGACTCCGCACACCCAGGGCCATAAGACAACTTCTGACCAATCAGAAAAGGCTTATACGATTTTCGCAGCAGCCGTTTCTGAGTTACGGACTGACTAAAACCAACGCCGATTTCACCCATGAGGACAGATCTGACCAGGCTAAAAAGAGTCGGACCCCCACAGCCGGCAAGCTTAACCGACCAGTGACACGAAGACGCTTCTATCAGTAACTTTCGGCCAGCAGCAGCAGCAGCAGAAAAGACTAACTCTTGATTACTTCATCATACTGTGGCGTGTCAACTGAAGACATAGGCGATCATGGCCTTCCACAACATCCTGTAGCTCTTAATAAACTTCTCTTATTTCTCCTAAGCCCTGTTCCGATATCCATTTACTCAAGCTCACTAAGTATGTTATGCATTGTTTTCTCTGTACCACTTGCCCTCTATGTGTCCCCTGAATATCAAATGCTCCAAAATAGACGCATTGCCGCCAATTGGAAAAAAAAATCAAATTTTCCCTCTTTTCATTTTCGACGACCAAAGGAGTCAGATGTCTGGTCAGTTCTCCAATAGAATATATTGCTACCAACAGATAAATACAAACGTTTTAGCTCTATTTACGTATAGGTACTTTAAAATAACGAAATATATACTAAAGCATTTTATCGTTTTTGTCTATGCTTACTGTGTCGTATATTGTATATGATTTGTTTGTAATCTATATATTTCCGTTGTGGGCTGATAATGTGTTTTTTTAACCCCCAAACAAAATTACATAAAAAAAAAAGAAACGAAGTACATTCAGATGGGAGACTAATGCATCACTAGGTCAACCCACAAGTTTACAAATTCCTGAGTCTATATTTTTTTTGATCTGATTCTCTCATAAAGGTTTTAAAACAGTTTTTAGATATATTACCCTACAGCAAACTTTTCAAAAAAATTAAATACAGTAACTTCACTCCAACAATCAGT